ATTTTTCAATGATTTTAGATCATTCTTTAAAAATTATATAAAAAGAGCACCTACTAAATCTTTGATAATAATACTATAACGATTTGATTTTTCAACTAAAAAATCGAACAACGCCGACGTGGTAGTTCATGTAAGCATAACACGTGAACTTTAGCAAGCCACATAGGATCTACATAAGCAATGATGTGAAAAATCAATTACATGGATCCTATATGGCTTACTAAAGTCCATTTATCATACTTATGTGGATGTTACGTGGCTTGCTAAAGCCATATGACATACTCATTGTCATGCTAGCATTATTTGGAATTTCGATTCGAAGTTAGATTAATACTAGTATTATTATCGGAGATTTAGTTGGTAACGTTTTTATATAATTCTTAAAGAGCGAACTAAAATCATTAAAACGTATATAATTCATAATTTTTTGAAACATTAAGCCTAAATTTTATTAAGGGCATAATTAAAAGAAAATGAAAAAGAATGGGACTAAATTGCAAACATCATGAGAAATTACGAGAAAAAAAATGAAATGTAGTCATCCAACCCTAAATTCTACCTCTCTCTTTTCAAATGAGCGAGTCGAACCTTAAGGCACTCCACCGATGTTCACCTCTCTTCTCAAAGCAATGTTGCCAAACTTAAATCCTCATAAAACTCCTCTGCTACCGTCCTCTCTCCTAAGCCCAAGCAAATCCCCTCCATCCTCTATCCAAACCCAGCCACTCCTCACCAAAACCAACCATCACACACCTTCCACTATCGTTCTCCTCTCTTCCCAAAGCACCACTACCAAAGTCAAATCCTCATTTGACTCCTTCACTTTCATCCTTTCTCCCAAGCCCATCCACTCTTGGCATCGTTCTCTCCCTCTTTGTCGACACCAACTATCACGGACCCCTCCACTGTTGTTCTACTTTATTCCCAAAGCACCATCGCCAAAATCGTCTATCTTGTCCGTTGTCTCCTTAATCGCCATTCTCTCTCTCAAGTCCGACCACTCCTCATGTTATTCTATCTCTCCTTGTTAAAGCCAACCACCACAAACGCCCTTATTATCGTTATCCTCTCATGGATTTGTAGGAGTCTTTCTTGGCAATGGATTTTTATTTTTACTTTGATGGGTGTAACAAAAATATAATGTTTGAATACTCTTTAGGAGATTTAACTAATGTGAGCTTTGGATATCTAGAACATAAATATTAACTCTACTCGTTTGTTGCCTTATTTTGGAACATTTTGCCTAATATATTTACAGTTTGAACATCTAAATTTTTGTTTTAGGACCAACATTTACCTTGAAATGTGGAAAAGTTGAATTGCTTTTTTTTTTTTAACTAAAGAATTTCATTATTGAATAGAATCAAAAGCCAAAAATTTCATCGAAACGACGAAGGGACATAACCTCATTCCGTCAAATCAACCAAAGAAAAAGATGACTTAACTAGCTTATGGGTCAGCTCGATTCGCCGATCTTTTGGCAAAACGAAAACCACATTAAGAAAGCACTCCTTAACAAAATTATATAGTCATCAATTAACAAACCAAAATTTGATATGTCTTCCTCGTGGTCATTAATGGCCTCAATCACCACTTGTGCATCCGTCTCTAACATCACATTTGGAACCATCCTATCCTTTAACCAGCTAAGGGCCCCTTCACACCAATCACTTCAACAATTTTTGGATCCATCAAGCCCTCAAAGGTGCGTGACCTTGCTCGTCACTATACGTCCCTCTCGCATCCCTAACCACATAACTAACACTGAACTTATTTCCTCCTTTAAATAAAGCAACATTTGTATTTGCCTTTACCCGATCGACCTACTGGTTTTTGCCATCTAGAGATATGAGAGGACCGCCCTAACGAATCCCTCTTTTGGATCATCTTCCTAGCTTAGGCATTACCTCAATCCTCAAAGATTACCTTACTCGACTGTAGTATAGCCTCGACTTGTCATACTCTCCCCCTTTTATACCATATCATTTTTATTCCTTCGTATTGCCCAACAAAACATGGTAACCTAATTACATTGCTATGTAGTACACCTAAAAAAATCATAAACAACTAGTTTCTAAATGAAGAAATCGACCTCCAATAAAACCAACACACGACTAGCCAAACATTCTTAGCACTCGACATTCAATTAATCCATGGTTTATCGATTCAACACCAACACCACATATTGGGCAATAAGGATCCACATTAACCCTTCTATCTCTCAATTTGGCCTTGGTAGGTAAGCATCTCGCCGTCGCTCACCGGATCATATTTCGACTTTGAAAGGAATTTTCAACGATTAGATTTTCCTCCATATTGGCTCCACGAGTTTACTTTTCCAAATGAAGCTAGAGTTTTTCCTCACTCTTGCCTCCAAAAAAGAGCTGCAAAGGAAGTATCAAGCTTTATAAATTTTGAGCATAGCCACATCAAAGTCATGCACCTTTACGAAACCCAAGCCATCATACTCATTTCGATACATAATATGTCTAAACTCTTCCTGTATATTCACCTATCCCGTGTCCCTTTCAAACCCGACCAAAAGGAATTCATCATCTTCTCCAAGTCAACACATAAGTCAAGAGGGAAGATGAAAACACTCATCACTTAATTCGGGACGACTTGTGCCATTGTTTTTAATTGCATTCCCTTGCCCTCCATTGATAGGAGCTTTCTATTCCAACCTTGAATTCTTCTACTCACTTTCTCCTTCACATAATTAAAAATCTCCTTCTTCTTTCTATCAATCAATAAAGGTAATCCCAAATATTGTTCCCCATTATTCTGATCCTCAATCCTCAAAATTCGACTCATATTACTCCTCTTTTAAGGAGGGGCATTTGGACTCGAATTTAATTGATGATTTTTGTAGATTATCTTGCTACCCCGAGGCCTTCTCATAATCCCTTAGGAATGGAATCACCGTCTCAATTTCTCCCTCCGATACTTTGAAGAAAAAATAGCTATCATCTATATATATATATATATAAAAGGTGTGAAACAACAGGGGCTTCTTTACCCACTTTACACTTATGGATTAACCCCTAACTCTCTTTCTATTTGATCAATGAGGATAGACCTTCCGCATACGGAATGAAAAAATATAGAGACAAAGGTCCCCTTATCTCAATCCTCGACTTGGCATAATAGGTCCTATAACTATCGAGTCATGGATCACATTATTCTTAACTAACTTACCCGTTAACATAACCAACTCCATCCATCTCCGAGAGAAACTCATTTTAAACATTATAGCCTCTAAGAACGACCATTCCACACGATCATGTACCTTACTCATATCCATTTTGAGAGCTGCAATACCTTATTTTTCCTATCTTTTCCTCTTTAAAAAATGATTAACTTCGAAGGCAATCATCACATTATCCGTTATTAATCATCCCGGAACAAATCTACTTTGTGTTTTTAGGATCGACTCGAACAACACCCTTTTTAGTTTATTAGCAAGCATTTTGGACATTCTTTTGTATAAAACATTGCACAAAGAGATGGGTCTCAAATCTCCCATAACCTCGGGGACTTTTTCTTTGGGATAAGGACTATAGACGTATCATTTAGACCTTCTAGAAAACTATATTCTCGAACCATTTACAAGTAGGCGGTAGCAACATCATCCCTCATAATATGCTAGAAATATTGATAGAAGTCGGGGTTCATCCCATCCACTCCTAAGGATTTATCGAAGGTGCATACCGAACACTACTTCGTTTACTTCTCGCTTAGTGAATTCATAGCTCAAGGAAAAATTATGAACCTTCGTGACCCTACTCCCTACCCATTGGGTGATACCATCCATTGAGTTTCTCATAGACAAAAAAAAAAGGTGAAGTATCCCATTCTCTTAGCTTTTCCACTCACCCGAGGTATCCTTAAGTTGTTTTATCCTATTTTTCCTTCGTCTAATAGCTTGCCTTAGTATGGAAATATCGCGAGTTAGAATCTCCGTCCCGTAGCTAAAAGATTTTTGCTCTCTGCTTCCAAAAGGCCTCTCTCTAATTCAATGTCTTTAGGTATCTTTCTCGAACCATTGAATTCCTCAAACCTATTCACATCTCTCCCCTACCTCAATAGTCTCATCCTCCTTTTATATTCCTCAATCCTTTTTTTAAAGTTGCCTATAATCATATCTCCCCACTCCCGAAGCTCCTCCCCACAAATGGTAATTTTCTCCTAAATCCCTTTCCTTTTGTTTAACTCTCGGCATTTATCCACTAACTCTTCACACCTATCCTCTCTTAACCAAGCATTTTCAAACCTAAACTTTCTAACCCTCTTCACTACCCATCCTACATTTAGATCTAAGAAGATAAGAGAGTGGTCGGATGAAGAAGAGACCAAATTTTAAACCATTTAGTCAAGGAACATTATCACCCATCGATTCCTAGCCATTGTCCTATCTAGCTTTTCCTCCATCCAATCCCTCGTCCCCTTACCTCTCTCCAATGTAAATCCATACCCGATCATCCCTAAATCCTTTAACCCATAATCATTGATTGTCGCATTAAACCCTAGTATACACTAACTCGGATGGGGATTCCTCCTCTTTTTCTCTTGGACTAACGGGATGTCGTTAAAGTCCCCCACGTAACACCAAGGCAGAGTCAATTTGTGTGCCAAAAAATGGAGAAGGTTCTTAAATTCCCTTCTTCGGTGTTTTTCTAGCATTCTATAATAGCTCGTTGAGCTTCAAGGCCTCATCCCCTCCTTTTGCACCACCACATCGATGTGATTCGATTAAACCGTAATATTCTAGCTTTATCCCTTTCTTTCTAAAACAAAGCAAGGCCACTCCCTCTTTCAATACAATCCACAACAAAGCTCCCCTCATATTCCAGTTTCCTCCGAATTGAATTAACTTTAGTTACGTTGATGAGTGTCTTATTAATAAACATGAAATTAGACCTTTTCTCATGGACTAGGTCTACCGAGTACTTGAACCGACCATAAGTTGCCCGACCCATGATAGTTCCAAAAAAGAATACTTATTGTGATGGGAGGGCTTGGGCTCCAAGTCTCCTTAAAGACTCATCTTTTATCTCATCTCGAACCGACATTTGTGAGCCTATTGAGCCATTATGATCTAACTCCCATTTACCTTCCTTCTCGGTATACCTCCTTTTGAATTCCGCTACAATAACACCCTCCTTATCAAGAATTAAGTCTCTCTCCATGTTCTCCTCCTCCCCAACCTACTTTCCATTTCCCCTTCCTCGTTCAATGCTTTTCCATTATTAACATTTATCCCTTTGCCATTTCTATTCCCTTTATTAGCTCTTAAAAACCTCCTCCCAAGATTTGATCCATGTTCAATCTCGAAGAATACGGTAGATTGATTTGTCCATTATTATCCACCATCATTTGATCTCCGACTACCTCTCTCTTGACATTCTTCGATGGCCTCTACCAAAGCCATTTCTCCCTACATTCAGCTTTTGACATCCGTTAGGAGCCTTCATCCATGAGTCGTATGGCTTTTCAATTCCCTTCATCGAATTTGAGAATAATACTTCATAAAATTCTTTTCATGCTCAATTATCCCACATATGAAGCAAAATGTTGGCAACCTCTCATACTTGAAGTTTAGTCATACCCATTCTCCTCTCATCTTCTTGATCTTCATCATTCTCTTTAACGGTTTGCACACATCCACAAACACTTGAATACGTATGAAAGCTCTCCACACACCCTTAAAATTATCCACATCTATGTCCACATACAATCCAAAGTTTTTGCCAATATCGCGACATACCCTTTCTAACATTAACCCAATGGGAACATCATAGATTTGGACCCGCAGGTTTACTTCATATAGCCGTATTTGGCTTGGTATGTCCCTTATTTCCAATCGTTTCTAAAGCGGAAAGTGTCTATCAAATGTCCATGGGCCTCCATCCCGCACTCGCTCGAGATCTAATTCATGGAAGAAATAAAACAAGAAGCATCGTGAGGTAAGTTTATTAATGTAAACCCCCCTTCATCGATCTCCATAGGACTACTAACGTGTTCTTTATCTACTGGGCATTAATAATCTTGTCAATAAGAAATCGCCCTACCATACATAAACGCACATCCACTTGGGGACTCTTTGCCCCCTCATCGACATACTCCGGTCCCTCCCTCTTCTTCATCTCGTTAAAGAAATGTTAGAGTACAACTCTTCTATGTGATTCAAAATGGTTCCCGGCATTCTAGTTGCAAATCTAGCTAGACACACATGAGTAATAAGAAAAACTTATCGGAGGATAAGACAAAGGGAACTTGTCAAAGGACAAGACTATTCATATGTTTTGAATTACTTGTTACTAAATACGATGTCAATTAATTTCAAAAGGTTAGTCTAGTAATTAAAAACATTTATTATAATTTTTTTCTTAACTACAAGGTTAACTTTTTAAAATTAAAATCAATTTTATTTGATCTTTTTCATTTTCATTTAAAAATCCATAAACCCCGTCATTTAATAAAAAAATTCATGCTAGTTCTTGTCAACAAAACTCGTTTATTTAAGTAAATTTTTTGCATCCTAAAAATCAGTAGCATCTTTAGGTAAAATGCTAACAATCTTCCAAAGTTGATAACGTCTTATGCTAAATTGTGAGCAAACTTTCAAAACATCACCATCTTTATTAAGTTGGGAGTGCTTTTGTTGGATGTAAATCGACGCTCACAAGGTGTATAACTTTTTTATATATATATACAATCTTATGAAAAGCATCTTTTTAAAGCATTTTATTGAATTTTCAATTTAGATCAATACAAATTTTTATTTAAGAATCGAGTACTAAAAGAAGAACGAATAATTATTTAAATGTAATTTTTTTATTAAGAAAATTAGCTTTTTTTCAATCTTTAATTCGATATGTTTTAGTAAACTAGAGGCATAACATGAACTATTAAATTAAAATGATATTTTATTTTACCTCTAGTATTGCAAAGGTAACCGACTAGAAAACCAATATTCTTAGTTAATCTTAGAAGAAGAAAAAAAGCTCATTGAATCTATTTTCCAAATAAGCCTCATGTAAAATAATAATAAACATTAAATGTTTTAATATGTATCGAAATAAATCTATATGAATGAAGCAAAGTAATAATAACATAAATATTTCAAAGAAAAATTGTTAGGTTTAATAACATAAAACATCCCTCTACTCGTTGATATTTTCTTAATGTGGCCCATTTACTTTTTTTCTTATTCATCAACTACTTGTGCTCTTTAATTTTTATTAATATAGCCCTTCTCACTAAAAACCGGTGATTCTTCTAACCGGTGATGACGGATGAACAAAAATTTCACTTGGCGTGACATATCAAATAAAAATTATCACATGGCCAAAATTTTTACATGCAAAAATCTAAAACGAAAAAAAAAAACTAAAGTATAAAAACCATTGATTTTTCTCTCTTTTCACACAGTCGATCTATCGATCGAATGTTGCTCCGAAAAAAAAAAAAAAAAAAAAAACCAATCCTTACACATATGCCTTCAAAAAAACCATAATCCTCAAACAATTACCTTCGATTTTCTATTCACCATCGATTCATTGATTGCTTCGAATTGAATTCAAAGACCTTTAATTATTCAACAATTCGAATCCCTAATTAACCCTAATTTATGAAAACCCTCAATTCGAAACCCTTATTTTTATTTCCATTTTCCTTTTATCTTTCTCATCAATTTTTCTCTTCATCTTCTTCGAATACATCTGTTTATGGGTTTAAATCCTAAATTTTCTATCACAAAAAACCCACAATTTATGAGAACCCAAAAATCCCCATGTTGTTTTATTTATTTTTTGAAAACCCTAAAACTTCCAACTTGATTTTTTTTTATTTTTTTAAAACCCTAAATTACATCCGTTAGAAATTGAGGATGATGTAATCTTATACTCTCATTAACCAAATTGACGATGACAAATTGCGATTGATTTGTATAGCTTCACCATAAACTCTTGAATTGAACTATGAAGAGCCCGCAATGATATGTCATTGTGAATTGAAGACTATAAAGTGGATGTAATGGAGAGACAAGCATTTAGGTTTGAGGTTCCATGCATATCCTATACATTTTGCCCACAATAGTAATAAAAATTTTGATTGTGGATATTAGGCGTGGAAAGATGATTTCATAAAAGGCAAAGCTAGCATGATTGTTTTGGGAATGAGAAATAGAAAAAGACAAATTTATAGAGAGAAGATTTTATTGTTGAAAGAAGACAATGAATCGATTGTGAAGATTTAAAATGTGAAGAATGAGGTAGATTCTCTTTTCATAGAAAATGAAGCATTGATGGTTAAGATAGCAACACAAAAGATAGAAAAAGAACACATGAATTTAAGAATGAAAAAATTAAGTGAATAACTTAATTAAAACCATTGCTCTTTTACATAAATTCAATAACTTAACATTGTATTCACTTAATTTTTTCATTCTCAAATTCATGTGTTTTTTCTCTACCTCTTGTGTTGCTATCTCAACCAATAACACTTCCTTTTCCAAGGAAAGAGATTCTAACTCATTCTTCCACCTTTGAACCTTCGTAATCAATGCATTGTTTTCTTTCAAGCAACAAATTTTTCTCTCTATAGATTTATCTTTGTCTATTTCTCATTCTCGAAACAATCATCCTAGCTCTACCTTCTATGAAATCTTCCTTCCACACCCAATAACCACAATCAAAATTTTTATTACCATTATGGGCAATATGCATAAGACATGGATGGAACCTCAAACCTAGATACTTGTCACTCCATGACATCCACCTTGTAGTCTTCAACCCACAATGAAATATCATTACAAGCTCTTCGTAGTTCAATTCAAAAGTTTATGGTGAAGCCGTACAAATCAATTATAATCTGTCATCCTCAATTTCATTAGTGAGTGTAGAGGATTTCGAGTTGATAAGAGTAGAGAATTGCATCATCCTCAATTTCTATTATATGTAATTTAGGTTTTTAACAAAATGAAAAAAAAAAAAAATCAATTTAGGAGTCTTAGGGTTTTCCGGAAATAAATAAAGCAATTTGAGGATTTTTGGGTTCTCATAAATTATGAGTTTTCCGTTATAGAAAATTTAGGACTTTAACCTATAAACAAATGTATTCGAAGAAGACGAAGAGAAAAATTGATGAGAACGATGAAAGGAAAATGTAAAAGAATAAGGGTTTCGAATTGAGGATTTTTATAACTTTGGTAAATTAGGAATTTAGGCTATTGAATAATCAAAGATCGTTAGGTTCGATTCGAAGCAATCGATGAATCGATGATGAACAGAAAATCAAAGGTAATTGTGTGAGGATTAGGGTTTTTTTGAAGCCAAATGTGTGAGGATTTAGTTTTTTTTGTCTAGAGCAACATTTGATCGATCTATCGATTGCGAAAGGAGAGAGAAAAATCAAAAGGTTTTTATACTTTGGTTTTTCTTTTTTCAAATTTTGCATGTAACAATTTTGGTCCACGTGGCAATTTTTATCCGATGTATCACGCCACATGGTAATGTTTTACCATTTGTCATCCGAAACTAGAAGAATCACTCGGATTTCAATGAGAGGGGCCACATTAAGAAAAATTGAAGAGTATAAGGAGGTGATGAATAAGCAAAAAAAAAAAAGTAAAGGGGCCACATTAAGAAAATGTCAACGAGTAGATAGACGTTTTATGCGATTAAATCAAAATTGTTATATTTAATTTATTTTAAAAGAAAAACTAAGTTTCTTTATACACCAAAATAACATGTTCAGATTTCTAACTGTTTTCAGCATCAAGCGACTGACTTGCCTGCAGCTAACTAGAACTAAGTGATAATTGCATTCAAAACCCAGGATTGAAGGATAATTTACTCGTCTTACAAAAAACTAGTAAACTTACTCACATTGTACAGGCAGGTTGTTAAAACAACACTCCAAAAATAAGGTTAAGATTTGAGATTTGAAATTTCCACCAAAATTCAAATCCTGGAAAAAAAGTGGAGAGGGATATCGCAACTATGGATAGTGTAAACCAAGACCCATGAAATAAGACATGATATTGGAAACATTGAAAATTATAATGTACAGCCTTTAGAAAACTGATCACACGTGGACAACCAACCAAGTCAGGATCAAGAGAAAAACTTTATAAACCGAGTTCTCAAATATATAACTTTAGATCAAACAATTGATTCACTTATTTGAATAAGAGACAATTATACTATAAATATACCAATTTTTAATTTTTTTTCAATCAAGTATATAAATTTTAAGTTTTTTATTTGAAAACATCAGCTTTTTTAAAATTATCATTTAAGTACTTTTGTTAATTTTTTTGTTAACGGGTAACATGTTTCGTTAATTTTTTTGTTAACGGGTAACATGTCCGTTATCCTAAGAAAACTAAATTATAATTTTTTTATTTTTTTAATGAAGTAATGAACTTTAATTTTTTGCGGATTGAGTACACTTTTTCAAAACTCGTAAATCAAATAACTCGTTAGTTTCCCCATTAATTGATAACATATTCGAATATCAAATTTTTTTTTTCCTTTTTTGTTGTAAAAAAACTCTCTTCTTAAATTATTCTATCATTTTACAATTTGAAAAAAAATAAAAAAATATATTTTTAGTTGTATAATCTCAAAATAAACTTAATTAGGCTTGATGTTAAAAAAATTAATTAGGTTATAAACGTGAAAGTTAAAGGAAACATAAACATGAGTTTTTTTATCAAGAAGATTCATTTGTGTTTTTATTTAATTTTCACTCTTAAACATAATTGAATTTTTTTTTTAATAACAATCTAAATGAATTTAATTTGAAATATTATAAATAAAAAATAATGTTTTTTAATTATTAGTCAAATTTCAAAATGGTAAAATTAGTTGGGAAGAAAGTTTTATTGAACCAAAATAAAAAAAATAAGATTATAATTTCATATTCGAATACATCATTAGTTCACCAAAAAAAATTGTTGAGAGGATCTCGAATCCACTTTTGAATTTTACAAACATTTTGTATCATGTTACAACATGAGAGGATCTCGAATCCACTGGTTGGAACAACAAAGATCACAGGAACCATGTGTCTTGGTCATAATTGCATCGTATGCTCGCCAACTAATAAGATCTTTCTGTAAAGTCAAAAGTAAAACAGGCAAAACTTGCAAGATAGAAAAGAAATAGAAAAATTAAGTGTCAGCAAATAACTAACTTGCTGCCGAGTCCCATGACTTTGGCTATCCGAAGTGGAACAATCTGAAACAATCTGAAGTTCCAATCTTGTGGTAGCAAGAGATGGGCAAAAGGCCCAAGCATAATCTCCATAACCAGGCATTCAGCACGAAAGATGTCATTCCGAACCTTCAGCAATGACTGCTGGAAAATGTTTCACATTGCTTCATGAGTAAATATTCCTCCATTATGGGGAAAAAAAAACTTTGGCTATCCGGTCCTTTGATTAAAGCATCCTAGAAACACTTGCTTGAAGAAGCCAATCAACAATCTTTGAACAACTGTCAATCCCAATGGTGACATGAGTGACCATGCGATAAGATGATCAGGCAAAGAAAATATATATGGACTAACCCTTACATAACCGAGAGGCCACTTCAGATCCCAAACAAAAAGCAATTTGAATAGCAAGGAACAAGCAGGGCACTATCTTCTACCATCATTGGCTGCCTGAAAGGATTTAATTGAATCTACAAGGCAGAAGTATCAATTACTATCTAATCGAATTGAGCAGCAGTTTTAAGATTTGAATGATATTAGACTACTATAAAGAAAGAAGAAGCAATGTGAAAACCCACGGGAAGTGAGAGAGAACAGCCAGTTCCACTTTTTATGCAGCAAGCAGCTAGATGACAAGCTTCTTCACAATAATCAGAAAATATTGCTGTGACATTCATCTTCTTTATCAGTTCCTGACACAACCATCCCAACAACCAGAATAGAATGAATAAAGCAAAAAGGCTTAACTATTTGAGTCATCTTTAAAATACAAAAAATTTAAAAAGAAGCAGCTTCCTTTCTAGGATTTTCCTGAACACAAATACACAGAAATTACATAAAGAGAAATGCTTAAGAGTATCAGTGACATACAATAGTAGGCAACCAGCTTGGATATGCAGCAACACCAGCATTTGGAGCAATCACTAAATGAGGAAACAAATCCTGTGCACAAAACATCATAAGAATTAGAGAGAAGTACCTCGTCTGATGACAACTAGTTAAAAACACATGCAAATAGAACAATCTGATATATAAGTGAATGTGATGTCGAACAAGAAAGAGATAGAAAAAGATTGAAGATGGGGGTAGAGATGGTGAAGAAAGCTAAGGAATAGAAAGGCTGAGAAAATGCAGTTTCAATAACATCCAAAGCTGTCTCAAAATTTAACATTAGACACTTTGGAGTTTTAAAAATAAGTAAAGCCAACTAATAGGAAAGCATTTTCCTTCTAATATAAAAATAAGGAAAATCATATTATCAAAAAAATATAATAATAATGAAAATCCTTAGCAGGTCTTCCATCAGTATGGATATGGATATATTTTCAGAGACAGGTGGGAAGAAGACCTCAGCTAAATCCCTGTAATGGTCGTGGTAAAATCCACTGCGAAGCTGTATTGTCATTGATGTAGATTTACCGGTGGTTGCAACACGGCTGAGATTCTCACTTGAGGATTTGCAAATGCAATCTGCATCCATGCAATGGGCACAACTGCATAGAACAATCTTCTCACCGTCCCTATTCATGGAGATAAAAAATGAAGAATATATCATGGACTGCTACAAGCATGCAAATTTTGTTCAATAGGAGATTGCCACATAGTAGATGTATTCATCCTTAGGATTTCATTATGTGGAGAATTTGTGCTAAGGTTTAGCAACCGCATAAGGTGTTGATCTATGGACATAGCATATTACAAAAAAACTTAATTAGTTATAAACATGAATACCCAAATTAGCTAAAAAGCAATAAGAAGAAAATTAAAGAACTAATTCGTCATGAACCCCACACCCAATCAAATCCAAGCAAACTTCAAATATCATGAAAATCAAGAGTGTGGGCACCATAATGAGGCAAGGCTCAACACATAATTAATTAAATAAACATAAATCCTCACAGAGCTAGTGCAGTGGGAATTTACCCACTCAACTCAAGAGAACATGAAGAGGCCTCCACCACAGCCAACAAGGCTGACTTGCATTTACCGAAAATAATCACAACTAAATGCTCAAAAATGTTACGATCAAGTTTTTAACTGACCTATGTTGTGGAATTGCGGGTCCAATAAACTCTATATGCACCTGCACACCAGGGAACAAAGCAAGCAACTCTCCAAAGGCAGCAAGTTGTAGAAGCTCTTTTTCAGGCCCTATTAAGATTCAACTCAGAAAACAAAACTCAAAATCTAGCAAATGATAAATATAATACTGTAGAGGTCATCGTGCATTGACGTCCCTCAGAGAAGTGGCTAATATTAAAAAAAAAAAAAAAAAAGTCAAAGAAGTAAATATCCCCATCTTTATAACTGATATTGGAAGACAAGCAAAGGAGAAATTTAGCAAATCCAGCAGTCGTGCACCTAAATTTCAATACATTTTTATTTTCATCACCAGAGTACGAACAAAGAAGAGACATCCAAATGGAAATTAGCAAGAATGCTGAAACCTTTCAGCAGAATCCTGTGTAGGAATGGTGCCTTGACATGAAAATCATACCCTTGTCTGACGCATATTACCAAATACAATTACCATATTCTGGATGGGCAGAGCTGATTGAAAGAAAGCAATGATGATGCTAATCATTAAAGGATGTCTGAGCAAATGCTGTCAAACCCCGCCTCCCTATGGTCAAGGAAGCAGAGGGAAGGGCAGTTGGAAAATCAATTGACCCAAATATATTAAGAACCAGCATACTATCAAATATCGTAGCACATTCATAAAAGTATTATATTGTCGCTAACTAAGTTCATTAATTTTTTGGCAGGGGGTCTAGAAAACACAGGTGAAGATTGAACTACTCCTTGATGAAAAATGATACACCACATTGACAAGAAAGCCTATATTCACATCTCTATAGCTCATGGACATGTAAGGAATATTAGCTTTAATACACTTTGGTCCTGAGGCCAAAAGGTCCAACTTTTCAACTTGACCTTATGCAATGCAGTGGGTCAAAATTACAGATGAATTATGGCATCATTGATTGTAGTTCGAAAACAGGACAGGTGTGGAGTTAATACAACAGAAGTTGCACAAACCTAATAAAAAGCATGTTATGGTGTATGTTGCATTAAAATAATAATAATAATAATAATCACAACAGGATAATATTTCAGAAAAAATCATCAAGCGTCTACACTGCAATACTTACCAAGATAGTGTATGCACAGTTTATGAGTTTCAACAATCAAGTTCCTTACACAAGCAATTTGGGCAGCATGGTAAATTGTAAGTGGCTGAAATATTGAAATAAAGATCGATTACATCATCTATGTGTTTATAATGAAATGCAGGCACTAAAAGTAAATTGATTTTTTTCTAAGAACACAGTTACCGGAGGTTGTGTTTCAAACTTTATTTTCATAGATCCCATGGGGGTTATTACAACTTAGTTCCATTAATAATCTCACTTTCATGTGAATTCAACATAAGCAGGTGCTAGTTTTGGTAAAACAGCAAATAGAACTTAAAACCACAGATCTTGAGATTTAAAATAACAGAAATAATTTCTTTTAAGGAAATACAGAAAATTTAGAAAAAAACACTAAGGAAACCTAGCCATTCAAATGCTGGCAACTCTAAACCTAAGTGCTCAAATGCAGCATGAAATCTAATCGTTCTAGCAGCAAAAAGATTATAGAATTAGCATCTGTTGAACATAGGAACAATTATACAGATCTATATCTCAACTAGTTACTAACATCACACATTTCATACCCAGTGAAGAAGTAAAGCAACAGGTGAATGTAGAGGAATGCACCTCCACTCATAGTAATCCAGCCAACTGCTTAAACACTCCGATATTGGTGATATGGGCCCTGCATAATCATATGAAGAATTATACAGCCATCAAACTACAAAGGAAAAAAAAAAAGGTAGAAACAAAGACATACCATGACATGGACATAGGTCACTGGGGAGATTCCAACTATCATCCTTTGGCCTGGTAATGATATAAAATACATAACAATGTTTAAAATGAACTCAAATAAATTCTGTGTAGCTTGTCAAGTATAATAACTGCCCATAGTGATTCACTTGCTTATTTCCTTTCCGACATGTACAATAGATTCAACATAAGAGCTTGTCTAAAATACTCTATTTTCTTAGCTAGAATGAAAACTGAGAAATCTTTTTTATCCATCCACATAGACAGAACCCAATGGCATAAATTTTTGCCTTTTTTAATTCGTTTGTAAAGCAACTACTTTTCAGTATATTCAGAATTGTCAATCATTTTAGATCTCAACCTGACATTTGCTTTATAAGGCTGATTCTATATTCTGGAATGGATAGCAAAACTATGATTTCTTAAGAATTTGTCTTTCTAGCTTTCTTTACTGCCACAACGTTACACCCTCTCAGCTGGCGTTAACATCATGCTTTCAGTTAGCTTAAGTAACTTTATCTAATCCTTCAGTTATTAGACATTTTCTGTCGTGAAATTTCTTTAGGAAAGAACCATTCACATTGGTAAGCACGGATGAGGAGTAAGAAGAAACCTTAAAGAATCAAAGGAAGCAAATGATGATGCCTGAAAGTCAAAGCAGCAGCATTCGTGCATCCACATTCCCAGTCGATGAATGCCTCTTTTGCTCAAGAACGAACACCTACTCCCTTGCTTTTCCCACACCTATCAAGAAAGGATGCATGAAATCAATCAGCAGGTGAGAGACAGACATTTTAAAAACCAAAAAAAAAAATTATAAGTACCTACCTGAGAAGTAGCTTCTTGAGAAAAAGTAAAAGGGAAATCATTCAAGACACCTACTTGCTTCATTTGCTTCTCTAATCTTTCACACTCTTCTTTATGCTCATTCCAGTGCGACATCTATGGCAAAAACAAAGAAGAATTATCCTTCAAACTGAATGCAATCACTCCAGGTAAAGAGAAGATAAATTGGGGGTTTACTTTACCTGATGAGAGACCGAGCAATAAGCAACAGCACCACACCGACCGCAGCGCCTACGAGCTGAGCCCATGCACCGAGTTCCACGCCCCTTTCCGGCGCAATCCATCACTGATTCCTTTCAGCTTCGATGCATCTGATCACTTTCCGGTGCAATCTAAACACAAGTCCAGCTAAGAATTAGTCGGTACTTAACCCATCCTTAAAAAGCTTTAAGTCCATGAAATCTGTGGTCCAGTAAACTCAGCCCAGTTTTTCTCGTTCAGCCCGTTGAGGTTTTTTTTTTTTTTTTTTTAAATGGAGGGATTTTATGTTACGAGTAAATTATAAATAAGGCCCTCTAGTTTAAATAAATTAATTAATCATTTTAAAAATATATATATATATATATATTATTTATGCATTTAATTATTTGACCATGCTTAATTTAATATTATTTTTATTCCACAAAATCTCTTATTTTGCCATCAATCTTCCATATTTTTTATATATTTTTTTATTTTTTTCTATTTCTTAAAAAAATAAAAATAAATTAAAAGAGAGAAAAAAGACTAAATTAAAAGTAGATTTTAAAACTTGGAGACTAAATAATTAGTTTTTAAAACAAAAATGACTAATTTATTTATTTCTCAAAACAAAAAGGACTAATTTATAATTTACTCTTACTTGAATTAAAATGTTATTTCGGAATAAATTATGAATTAGTCCCTCTCATTTAGAAAAAAAAAATTAATTAGTCTTCCTTTTTTCAAAAGCTAATAATTTAGTTCTTATATTTTAATTCCGTCAATAACTTAGTTTTTTCATTATTTTTCTATTAAATTAGCAATTTTTATTCTTAAATTACCCTTACTTTAATTTTTTTTTTTAAGAGAGAGAAAAAGGAAGGGATGAAGAACAAAAATAAGGCACAAAAGAAGAATACTTAGAGAAAAAATCACTAATCTAACAGAAAATTTATAAAAAAAACTAAGTTATTGATAAAATTAAAACATAAGGGATTAAATAATTAGTTTTTAAAACAAGAAGGACTAATTAATTTCTTTCTCAAAACAAGAGGGACAATTTATAATTTACTCTTTATTTTGTGTACTTTTTTGTTTCATTTTCTCTTTGTATTTTTAAAATTTTAAAATTTATCTTGATTTTTAGTTTTTAAAAACAATAGAAACCAGTTATCAAAATTTATAAAAACCAAGAAAAAATAGTTTCTAAACTTTTTAGAATTGGAACCCAAACTATCACCACAAAAATTGGAAATGAGGTTAGGCATGTTCAAAAGTCAGTCTAAAATGGAATCTGGATATCTGAAAATCAATTTTAGACTAAATTTAGAGCACCCACAAGTCAGGTGAGGACTCTGTCCTGACGTCTCTGTAGTTTTGTTGGAAAATTACAAAGCATCCCTAAGCCATCTTTTGATAACGACAAACATAGTCCTTCTTGCTTTGAGAAACGAATTAATTCATCCCTTTTACTTTATAAATTAACTATTTAGTTTTCGTATTTTTTAAATTTATTTGTAAGTTAGTCTTTTTTACTCTTTTTCAATTTATTTTGATTTAAAAAAAAACTATGGAAAGATTGATGATAAAAGAAAACATTTTTTAGAATAAAAAAATATTAAATTAAGCATAATCAATAAGATCAAAGGATTAAATAATAGTTTTTTTAAATGAAAGAGGTTAATTAATTTATTTCTTAAACCTAGAGGGACTAATTTTTAATTTACTCCAAATTTTGATGATGGATGCAGAAGTCCATTAGTAATCCACGGTACCCAAGACTTAGCTCTCGGCTTTTAGCCCAAATCCAAATGATAAGCAAAAGCCCTGAAGGTTTAATAAGTCTTAAATTAATCAATGATTAAAATTTTGTGTAAATTTTATTTAAGTGGATCCCTTCTCGGTCCTCAACTATGAAAAATAGATTGTTGATTATCGAACAATCACTTGTTAGTATTAGACCATAGTTACCGAACCTTCGACACAGTCAAAGCCGTTAAATCATTAAATTAATAAAGTAATTAAGGTAGCAATCACTTATTAGAATGCCATAATTAATGTAATATAAATAATTTTATATTTAGATGTGCATCGCAAGTGCATTATTGTAGACCGGAAAGAAGAAAGATGTTAGATTTTGCAATTTCTTTCTAAAGATGAAATAATCAACTGACCAGGTTTAAACCCATAGTTAATGAACTATGCGTTTATTATAAATAATAGCTCAACTAGATCTGATTGCTAGGTTTTCAATTGAAATGGCAGGACTAATTCATTGCAGTATTGAAAATTAAAATGCCTGGACAGGCACATGGAAAGCCAGCTTGTTCCATAACTTTGAATAGAGAATACGAAAAGTAATTGGTGAGCAATTTATATATGCTTCGATCTAAGTAGTTGGTGTCGATTCGGATTTTTTTCATTTCCCCTGCCACTTTTCGTGAACCAAACTGAATATTTGGTTTAAGTAGTAAATTAAAGCTGTATTGGTGTAGAATTAGCAACATATAACTGGAATATATTTGTCTAGATGAGTACAAGCATGAAATGTGTAGTATTTTTTATCGAATATATAATCAATTTATCATACAAACGCGTAAATTTGTGAAATGTACATGCATTTGTTATGCCTATTTGATCATTTTAGCCAATGCAACCGGGCAACGAGTCTAATTTGGATAAGGATGGCCTACGTGACTCATTAATTTTATTTTTTATTTTATTTTTTAAAAAAATATTTTATCCATTATTCATTATCCATTAAAATATTACTATATAAATATTTACCTAATCCATATCCAGCTCACATGAGTTTTTTTTGTCCATTTAATATATATTTAATACCCATTAAAATTAATTTATCAAAAATATTTATTTTAGTTCCAACAATTTTCATATATATATATATATATATATATATATATCCATAAAATTTATTTATTTATTTATTTATGCATTTTGATCATTTATTTATAATTTTTTTTAGTCTTCAAAGTTTTTAAAAAATATTTTGATTCCTAATTTTTAAATTTTATACATTTAGATCCTTACATGTTAATAAAAAAAATCAAAATAAATTAATGAGTATTAATAGGATAATAAGTAGATATCTATAACTTAAAATCATATTAATGGGTATTTCTTTTATTATATTTACCTACGTCAATACCCATTATATATTTTTAATGAATATTTATTAGGTCAAGTAAAGCGAATATTCATTTTATATCTAATCCATTGTCATTCCTAAATATGGCTCATCAAATTGTGACTGAACACCAATATGTTTAATATTAATGAATAGAAGAGTTTAATTTATACCAAAGCAATCCTTTTGATGTCATAATCTAAAGCAATATTAATATGCTTGTAATCTTATGGTATATCCTTTAGCTGTGCCTCCCTTCAATGTATCCTCTAATCTCTAGGTCGGTTAGTGCTCGAAGAGGTGGAAGATGTGTTTTCAATGTCATTTGGTTTACCTGTTTGGTAAAGTGAGAAAGGTCTTAGGCATATACAATGTTGTTAGTACAAGAAACATCAAGAAAGATGCCCCATATCATATCCAGATTGAAGAAAAATAAAACAAAAAGATTCCAAATCTCCCAAACGAAAAATATCATCCACACGATCATTGATTAAAGTTCTTGAAAGATGGATCTAGCTATTCAACTTTCAAAGTCTTCGATTCTCCATGAACCTTAATCATAATCAGATCTAATCCACACCGTCATTGACCCTTCTCAAGATTAAAGTTCTTAGAAAGATGGATCTAGCTATTCATCTTTCAAAGTCTTCCATTCTCCATGAACCTTAATCACAATCAGATCTAATCCATGCAGTTAATTCAGTTGGTCGGCCATAACTTGAATGTAATAGCATATGCTACAAATATATAAGCCATGCCCATCTTGGCACTCAAAAGGATTTTTATCAATGGCTGGACCAGAGAAATTGTTTGTTTAATACCCTGCAGATACTTAACGGTGTTATAATAGTCATGTAAAAGCAATCGGAAACAAATTAATTTGTGGGTCCAGATGCGTCAATTAGAGATTCGGTTTGACTGAAGTAAATTTACCAATTTATTTGTTTAGATTTCTTTGTATCAAGCTTGACTTTTATGATCTTTTAACGTTTAAATACAAGGGTGGATTTAACATCGGAGGATCCACTTCTCATTTTCTTTATAGTGCACGGTCCCCACAGAAATAATTTTATAGTCACGTACTCACGTGATTAGGTAACATGGTTCTAACTATCTTTCTTTTTATTAGTTAATCTAATTTATTGGATTAATTATTTTCGGATAATTTTGATGAAAAACGATACACCACAATAACAAGAAAGCATGGATTCACACCTCTATTGCTCATGCACATGCACGGAATATTAGCTTTAATACACTTTGCTCCTGAGGCCAAAAGATCCAACTTAACCTTAATTACAGATGATTTATGGCATAATTGATTTTATTTCGAAAATAGGACAGGTGTGGAGTTAATACAGTAGAAGTTGCGCACAAACCTAATAAAAAGCATGTTATGGTGTATGTTGCATTAAAATAATAATTATTATAATAATTATCACAACAGGATAACATTTCAGAAAAATCATTAAGCTTCTATACTGCAATACTTACCAAAATAGTGCATGCACAGTTCACGAGTTTCAACAATCAAGTCTCTTATGTGAGAAATATTTATATAATATGATACATGCGTCATGTTTTATTTTAAATCTATAATGACAATCTAAAGACTTAGAGCGTAATGAATTTTAATGATTGGTTACGCACATTCATGATAAATGGAGGTGCAAAATTAAGTTAAAGAAAGAGTTTTTTGTCTAGTCATATAAATAGTAAATAAAGCTTATGTTTTTTATTAACACACAAAACCGTAAAATATTGACATAGATTAGAAAACTCTCTCTCCTTGACGGCTCTAGTTTTCTTCTAGTAATATTTTGAACATTTAATTAATCATGTCGGGAAATATATATTCTATTAATTTTCGTTAAGTTTATATTGTTAGGCATGATTAATTATCTTACACCTTACATAAGCAATTTGAGTATCATGGTAAATCGTAAGTAACTGAAA